AAGGAAGGAAGGAAGGAAGGAAGGAAGGAAGGAAGGAAGGAAGGAGAGAGAGAGAGAAAAAAGAAAAAAGGAAGGGAGGGAGGGAGGAAGCAAGGGAGAAAGGAAGGAGAAGGGGAGAGAAAAAAGAAAAAGAAAAAGAAAAAGAAAAAGGAAGGAAGGAAGATTGCATTTCAATTCCAGCAGCTTCCAGCCTTGATTCCAGAGGTGCTAGTGGACTACAATTCCATCGTCCCAGTAAAGATAAGGTGGATAGCCTACCATACAATGACCCAAGTTTGAGAAACTAGCAAAAGTTGGGGGTTGAAAGGACAATCCTACCCGCCCCGTACCACTTTACTCAAGGCTTACACCCTCCTCTCTCTAGGGCAATTGGGAGGATTCGTAAGCGCCGGCTGCAGGTTTGGATAAAAATCACAGCGTGCTACATTTGGCAAACACACAAGTGGTAATTTTTATTGGGATTTGTGGAAACACACCGGATTCCAGTTACGATTTACATTGTTTTCACTTCCTGTAGGTAAGATAAACATCCGTTGAGGGTTCAAATGAGGTACCAACAGTAGCTGGGGTCATGCATGACACTAAGCCAAAGTTGGTTTAATCCCAGATGGTTAAATAAACCACAGTTGACTGGCTTCATATGAAGAGAAAGTCAGGCAAACCACATGAGGCATTTGTGCATTGAGGGAACTGTATATTCCCTTCTGGAGCAATTTTGCCCCACGTGGGGACGTTTCAACTCCAAAAGGAGCCCCGGGTATTATTCTTTCTCTCCTGAGTAATCGCTGAGATGAAATATATACGTGCAACCTTGTACTATTCTTTCGTATGCAAAACATTTTTAAAAATGCAAGCGTAATTATGCAAACATACATTTCCTCCCTCACCCCCATTACAGTTCTGAATGCCTGCTCGGCTTGGGAAAAATGCTCATAAAACTTTCACAATAAGATTAAGCAATCCGTTCATAGGGCAGTAAAGCATATCGCCGGAAGACGAGAGAAGAAAAACGGGCACCCAGAAAGTTAGTGATTTAACATTTCTAGGTAAAACATTCCCTAGATCTTCCACAATGATTCACACAAAAGACCTACGCTTCGTAATTTTATCATCTGATTTATCTTCCTAGGCCAAGGAATAATTTTTAGCCAACAAGGGCGTTTCCCCCCCCAACAAGTGAAGGAAAAATGGTGGCTATCCAGCAGTGGCTGAACTTCACCTCCCATCAGCCACAGCCAGGACGGCTAATAATCAGGAATGAAGGCAGCTTGTTTATCTGCATAGGTTGTAGTGGGGTATACAACTGTGACTTTCAAAAACTTTAGCCTGCAGCTTCTGTAGACCTTTCAAAAATCAACCCCGAACTGGAATTTTCAATTGGGACAGAAGGGGAAGCTGTGGGAATCTGGGGGATAATCCTATTACCTGTATGAGGTAATCGGTTTGTAACAGAATCAAAATTTGTTTTTGTCCTGGCTCCAAACCCTTTTGAAGGGCAGCTGCTGGGAAGTTCCTGAAATGCCATCTCCAGCTCAGAAAGGACAAAATTGTAGGGCCCTGACGCCATAAAATTCACACAATGTGCTAAACCTGGCTTGGCAAAACACGATTTCCACATTCACATAACCTGTGATCCCTGAACAGGTAAAGCCCATCATGGCTGAATGGAACGACATGGTTTACACTGCCTGTGAAGGCAACGGCTGGATTGCCATGAAACTGTGAACTCAACTGCTCCTTAACTTATGTGGCTTCTACAAATTAGAGGCTGATGCCCAGAAAGTTGCAGTATATAACCTGCCAAGCAGTCCTACTTAACTGCTAAGCCAGTGTTTCTCCACCTTGGCATGCTGGCTGGGGAATTCTGGGAGTTGAAGTCCAGATGTCTTAAAGTTGCCAAGGTGGAGAAACACTGTGCTAAATGATTCCTGCCTGGCTGAGAGGCTATTTTATGGCCAAACCGAGCAAGAGAACTAGGCGGAAATCTGACCTCATCCTCAAGTATGCCAAACACCCCAAAATGCTAAGTCAGGATGAGTAGAACGAACGCCTGCCCTCCTCTTGACTTAACTAACACCACCATCTGAATCACGGTTAGGAGGAAAATCCACCCACTGTTTCTGGGTGAGGCCAGTTCTCAAGTTTCCAGAAGGTTGACCCACTAACACGGTAGTGTTTCTGAGTCACACCCGCAGCTGGGAAAGATGTTGGCCAATGAGAAGAGAACTGATGAATTTATCCAAAGAACAAAGGAAGATGTGGAGAGGGGCCCTTAGAAGAAGGAAACTCTCCTCGCAACCGTGGGGCAGGTAGGCTGGGCCAGGATGAATCATCCATTAAAAACACACCTCTAGATCTTCCAAACTCCCCCAGAGTGGCCTCTGTTCCTGCCTAGGTTGAGGAATTACAACTTCCAGGATCCCCAACCAGCACTACTGGGAACTGTAATTCCACAATCAATGCGTATGTTTCTCTCTGAATCTCTATGTATGTATAGACATACCCAATCACGCATAAAAGCATAACTTCTTCCACCCTAGTAGTTCGCCTGTTCCTGGCACTGGGATGATCAGGCGTACAAGGGGAAGAAATTAAATACATCAAAACCAAACAGCTGCCTTCTTTCTGGGCAAGCCGTAGTTTCACAGCATCCTCTTTTGGTTCTTTAAATATTGAGAGGCACCTTTAAATCCACCTAATCGAACGACGGATGCAAGAACTGTAGTGTGTAAAATCTGGCCTTTTTTGCACTGACCCATAGGATACTAAAACTTTCAAATGTAGCAGACGATTGTTTTCAACCATAGTTTGTGTGGCCCAAAATTTAGAGGCAGCCCCCAGCTGGAACAGGATATTTGCTGGCTAAGTATCAGAAGTCTTCTTCCTGAGACTCTGGATTCAAACTATGGCTTATTCCCAAAGGCATGGTGAAAACAAACCACATTTTAGCACCCTCTGTGAGAGACATGGAGATGGCGGCAGGATTTGCATTTGGGCTGCTGAAACAAAGAAAGCGATGCTTCAGGAATGATACAATAAAACTTACCAAACATACCACAAGCTTGTCCAGCTAGTTCCTTGCTGGGAACATCTGGAAGAGAAGGAAGTTGCCAGTCACTGCTCAAGAACTTGATCCAGCTTACAACACAGGAACTTGATTCAGCTCACACACAGCTGCTCTCTAATTCCCACAACACACAGAAAAGGTAGGCCAATCTTGTCATCTCCAATTTGGAGGTGAGCAGCTGGACAGCAGAAAAACCACCAGGGAGGTTGTCCTCATGGACCAGCTCAACACCACCTTTTAAGTATTCGAAAGGGAGACATTCCTACCCCAAGGAGATACTTAAATTGAACTTACTCTTGATGGCCAGTGCAGAAGATCTCAGAAAAGGAAGGTGCTGCCTGGGGAAAGGAGAAAGACAGGACACTTAGTACAGGATAGTAAAACAAGAAAAGGACCAGTTTAGTGTAGTGGTGAAGGCACCAGGCTAGAAACTAGGAGACGGCGAGTTCTAGTCCTGCCTAGGCACAAAACCAGCTGGGTGACCTTGGGCCAGTCACTTTCTCTCAGCCCTAGGAAGGCAGCAACGGCAAACCACGTCTGAAAAACCTCGCCAAGAAAACGGCAGGGACTTCTATAGGCAGACTCTGAGAATTGGGTACAATCGAACGGATAAAAAAAAGATAAAACAAGAGGGCCGAATCAGATTGATTTGAGAATCAGACTCAAGTACTACAGTACTAATAATCCGCCACTCGGAACCCCCTGAGAAGTTCACAAAACTATACCCTTATATTCAAGATTCCCTGCCTTAAATTACTTTCTGGATTGACACCATACCCTGAAGTACAGAGTAACCGGAGTTCACAACCAGGCTGAAGAATCGCCCCCAAAACAAGCCAAAGTTAAAATCAACCAAGCAACACGCATAGCATAAATGCAGACACTAGCCTGACAAGAAGTTCAAAAATGTTGCATGAACACAGCACCTATGCACTACGGAACTTTAATTCAAATTCATAATTTTATTCTTGACTCCAAGCCCTGTTTATTCTGCCCCCAAATTCTTCCCTAACCAAAGACTGGCTTTATTACAAAGAAAAACGTGCTCCAGTTCACTACCCCGAAATGCCTATTCTTCACCGCTGTACAAAAAAATAAGAAGAGAGGGAATCTTGAACACATTTATTCAGCTTGGACTACAAGATCGCTTGTGTGCCCAGGAAAGAGAAAATGCTTTAGGATCGTCAGGCAAACGCACCCAGCGCGGCTAAAAAAAAAAGCATTTTTTTTCCCCAGAGCGCGCATTTTTAGGATTCTCACCCGGGCTAGTAAATGAGCAGCTGAGTTTAGAGAGCCCGCAACATCTAAAACGTGGCTTTTTCACTTTTCCTGTAAGGCCCAACCATATGCTGGTTTACAAACTAGCCTTTCTGACTCAGGACAGGGGGCGAACTCAGCCAACGGCGAACTGTTCCCAAAGCCAGGCTTAAATAAAGGCAGGCTCGGTGCCGATTCAATCCATGGGGCGCCAGGTTGGAGAAAAAGGTGCATTGAGAAGGCTGGCCGGCGGGCAGACTTAAGCCCCCTCCCGCCTTCTCCCGGACTCTACAGCAGTTTGCTTACGGACCGGATTTCTGGACACGTTGAGCCGGACCCCAGCGGCCGCCTCCCAAGGGACGCAAACCCAACGGGGCGCCAGGGCGCAGCCA